GGATGATACTATAAACATAATTATATCTATCAAGGTATATCTTCCATCTTCACACTTTTTTTAGGATACAATCTGAAGAGTATTACATAGAATCTGATTAGCACCTACAGGTACATATTAATAAAAAAGATAAAGTAAAAAATATTCTCAAGTCTGATTATTATCACACAATTTTATAAAACATATTATTTCCGTTTGGGTGTTTGTCATATTATTTAAAATAGGTACTTTGGTTTAAACAATAGTTCTTGTTGAACATAAAAACCTTATTTAAATTTTGAATTAAAACTAGTAACGCACCCAGTTTAATTAAGTTACCAGAGTAATTACTGAAAGTGGATCCATGTGATACGTTTACAGTGACTCACGTCTGTCGGATCTAGATTACGCCAGAATCTATAGTATCTACCTACTTGTATGAGTTTCATTAGCTACGTTGTATGTAAGTAGTTGTCTAATGTGTGTATTAGGTAAGTAAAATGTTACCGTTTTAATATTATCTATAGTTCTTAATAACAATTGAAAAGGTAAAAAGTGTAGGTTTTATTCTTCGTGATTTGACCATTATATTTCGTGAAAGGGCCAAATTTCATAATTTTGATTTTGATTTTGGTCACCTGTGTGTATGTCTGCTACAAATAGGTAAATAGATAAAGAAACATTCATTGGCGTTACATAGTCTCAGCCTACCCTCATGGGACACAGGCGTGAAATTATGTATGTATGTATGAATGTAGATATCGAAACAAATATTAATGAAAATAGATAGACTTCAGAGGTTTATTTTTATTTCAAATCATGTTTGACTTGACAATATCAATCACTGTATGAAAGGTTTCTCTATATCCAATTTATACTCATATACTTAACCAATTTACCATCAACTCCATGAGTTGTACTCAATCTAATATGTCTAAGATACAATACTCCTACGCAATAGTGTCACTGACCGCTGCGTTGGCGTCACTTCCCTACGATAAGCATTACGTCATTGATTCACAACGGTTCATCAATTCAAATGGTTTAAATTTCAGTTCTATGTAATGGTAATTAGGTTTAAATCAGTTAAGTATTTATTGAATTAATTGTTTAAAATACAGACTCCTATATTATGTAGAGATAAAATAGGGAAGCTGTTGCAGAAGTTACTCATATAATTCATATATTCAGAAATCTTTCAAATTTGAAAAAGCCAGTCATACTATTGAAGATATGGTTTCAGTTTAATCAAACAGTTTTTACCAAATTATGTGTAGAACATCTATATGTAGGTTAGAACTATACCTACGATTGTAAATCAAAAGCTTATTACCTAGTCCAAACCAATTCATAATAATTAGTCAGAAATTACAGCAGCCAATGCGGCTTATCAAACATGAAATCATAAGCGTAATTAGGCTTATTATGAACCTACTAGCTGCTGATATAAACGTTAACTAAATAAATTTCCATGGACTGGACATTCGTCGATAATCTGATGCAAATACGAAAGCTGAGGCTGCAGCGCGCATGAGCACTCCGCATATCCGATCGTAAAACTGTTACAGCCACGGAGGCTACCCCCATCACACCCCTAAGCCCCCCCTCCCGAGCCCCGTAGCAGGGTGCACCCCGACCCCTCAACGCCCGTCTGCAAACCTCTTTGTTTTTGGCAATACCTCCGAGGAAACTAAACCCGGACTAGTCTTAAGACCCCTTAATAGCTCTCTCTGTGGCAGGAAATTTCCTCTTTTGTTTTGCCAAAGGGTTGAATTTTGTTCTGGACCGATGAATTTTAATGAAATGATAATGTTTGCGATGAGTATGCAATGTAGCGAGGCTATTGAAGGGTTTGTTAAATTAATAGCTTGGAAAATATTTTATGAAAATATAAAGCAGTATTAAAAATGTACAATAAAAATATTTCGATTAAATTTTTCATATAATTTTAAATTTTAACATACCTACTTTTAATATTAAAATGCACTACTTGCTTATTATATACATAAAAGTACTGGAAAAACAACTACATATAATAGCAACTAAAATCCAGTAATTACCACTGATTAAATTAATCGTACTCTTTTATATCAGACATAAAATAAAACAGGTAGGTATAAGCACATCCGTCCTTTAAAACGTGCGAATAAACTTGTCCCTTTGAAAACAATTTGTTATTCAGACGCCGTAGGTAGACGGACGGCAGGTACCACATACCTATGTAGAGAAGGTATATGTGAGATGACGTATACTTTGCCGAATTTGCAGGATTCAACCGGCCGGCCATACTTTATGTAATGGCGGACAATTTAATCAGCCCACCTTTGTGATTAGTGTTTTTTTTGTATAAAATTAATAATATTACTTAAAATACAAAGCCTGATTTGGTAGGATTTCTGAACGTTAGAAAAATACATTCTGTTATTTTAATCTGAGTTTAAATATTATAAAAATTATTTAAATTGGCAGTAGATAACAAATACCTAGTGTCACAGTGCACTTAACATTGCATTCAAATACTATCTATTTGTTACTTTGACCTAATAAATGTAACATAGATAACATTAAATTATGAGTCATCACGATATATGAAAGTTACGTCATTTGGTGGATGTCTAATGATAGTAATAAATCATGACTAATATTTCAGATACGGGGTGTATTCTCTATGTATTTATTATTTACTTATCTTTTGGCGTAAACAAGCATACTTTTCTATTCCATAATTAATTTTATATAAATATTATCAAAAAGAAAAATATAAATCGTACTAGAAGAGAATGACAAATGCATTAAGTTTACCTACCTATAAATAAATTCGTCTAAACTTTTTCTAAAACAACCAATAAATAAAAACAAAACTTCATATACTTTTTAAGTACGTAGACATTTTCAATTGCGAAAAAAAAAATCATTTTTCCTTATTTCGCAATATATCATTGCTCGCTTTAATAAATCTGCAAGGTGTACCGTTTTCCTGTCCGCCAGTGCATTGAAGGCGTGCGTTGCGAATACAAATGGTGTCAGGTTGATTGTGCCCGAGGTTGCGATCGATCTGATATACGGAGACGTGTTGATGTGTACCTACGTATACAACCTTTGTGAGTGTTGCCAGACGTTCCGTTTATTCCTTTTTATAATTGGCTATACGTAGTCGTAGATGTGTTTGTGTGAGTTGGGGTGGAGAAAAAAATAGTGAGTAGATGAGTTGTTTTTTTAATGTGAGTTATGTTTGATTGATTCATATTTTTTTTTGTCTACATCCATGTATGTATGTATGTAGGTATAGATCTAACGAATGTATCGAGTTACATTTAGACATATAACGTCTTTTTTCTGTTCGATCAAATGACAGCTATTTAATCTAAAAAAATATTTCATGCCATAAAAAGTTTTTAAATGAAATATTATATATAATACCTAGTATATCATATGGAAATCTATAAATACTTACTCAAATCGTTACTAGTTTTAAAACAAGTTCCAAAACGTAAGACTGCATGTAGCTGTAGCCATACGATATCTAAAGATATAAATTCCATCTTGTCTCAACTGGATGCATAGGGTAACCATGTCTTTTTGAAAAGAAATGACTATCTATTTATTATTTTTTATAATTTTATTTAACTTTCAATATCCTAAATAATTTTCTGTAGTATTTTTCATACATATTACTTACAACTAAAACGTATGTACCTATAACGATGAATGACGTTGATATTGTTTCTTTATATTTGGTTTTAATTTAAAATTAAATTTAATTACACTTTATTTCTTTGAATAATTTATATTGCTAAAAAAAGGTTCATTGTGGTAGCAAATTTTATGATGTACAGAAGTTTGATAATATTGTTATATTCTCGTCATAAAAATTAAAGATAAATAAATATAAGTAATTTCAGATTTAACATACGTTATCTATTCTATTGTAATTTGAAAATTGAAAAAAATAAGAACTTTAACGTTAAGGTTTATCTTAATTATTTAAAAATAAGTCATATCTCAATTATAAAAACGTATAAAGTCACCTTTTAAAAAATTCAAAGTTTAAAGTCCTCAATCCGGTCACATTTTTTGTGGCAACATTACTTCATTCTCGTGAGTGGACTCTATCAAGAGTCGAGGGACAATGTCGCATTCCGAGAATGTCTCTACCTTGTAGGCGTATCTCTACATCTATAATACCTATTCGCGTAGAGATAACATCGTGACTTAACCTCTTGTGTCATATTTACTACACGTGTTTCAATTATATACTCTACGTAGAGCAAGTGGAGTTAGGTATTTGGGAGGTTCGCGTGTCTTGTAGAGTTTAGTTTGTTTGAATAAAAATAAGATTGAAGTAGGTTCGTTTGTTGTTTATTTACTGTTATATATTTACCTACCTGCCACCTACTTATATAGGTATTTATTGTCTAATGAAATGTATCTAATATTTCAAAAAATGTAATGGAAAATGTAAGTAATTTATAGATATTATATTTTCCTAACAGTTACTCTGTCCATAATTAATTCAATAGTGTGTAATGTTAAGACGTGTGCAACTTGTTTTAAAAACAAAAGTCAGTCTAGCCGTCATGTAGGTAGGTATTTAATTCATTCAAGCCATTCATTCTAGTATTTTACGAGCTCGTAGCTAGATACCTACTTCAAGTAGGTATGCAACTATGTGGGTATCTTTACGTAGGCCGAGGTAGTGTAGATTACGGCGCGCTTGTATGAAACTACCCCGTGCCAGCACGATGCCAATTAAGGCGCCCAACAGCCAATTGTTGATCATTAGCCACTAATCCGTCTCATATTCAATCAATACCCAAAACTTTACTCGCACACCTCCACCCGCCTCGCCCCTCGTCGCGCGACATTTAATGACACCCGTGCAACGACCAACACACGCTATTATAGCCTCTCCTCTCACCACGTAAGGGCCACACTCCCCTGAACCCGCCCACCGCGTTATATAGCACCGAGGATCTATAAAAGTTACGTCTGTAATCTAACATAAAACTCGGGCCGTTTAGATGCGAACGCGGCCACGGACGACACATCTCGGCTCGCTCCGTACTTTTACCGAAATATGAAGGTGTTTTTTGTGTGAATACTCGGGTTTTTTCGTGTAAAAACAAGGTTATTTCGTTTGTCGGCGGTGTAGTGGCGCGGACGTGGACGCGCGTCGTCGCGGCGCGCTCACGCGATGTGATATCACCAACTTTGACGTCTGCACGACGCACAAAAACAATTCGTAAGTACTGAATTTGAATATTTTACGCGGAATGTCATTCTACAAACTGTAGAAAAAATATTTGTGTTAGACGTCGCCTTGTTACGGCAGCATGTTGTGTTAAAAACGCTTTCTGTGGAACACTTTACCGGTTTTTCTAATTGGCGCGTGATTTATAACAGAATATAGAAGTTATCACGGTAGTTCTGTATTCAAAATATAAGATTTAATGATATATAAGTGAATTATATTATTTATGAGCAGTTTCAATTGGAAAATTCAAAGAAATTGTATCTTTTCACTCTATGAAATTTTCCCGGAACTGTGACCCTTTTTCTTATCATTTATCGGTAAAATCTTTCGTATTTAATTTCTTATGTCATTTGTTTACATTTTCCATGTAGAAATGAATTAAAGTGAGTAAATTTTCTAAAAGAAATGAACAAATTTAACCAAAAAACATAGGTAGGTAAGTATATTCAAAGTTCCTACACAAGAATCAGCTTTTCAGTAATGTATCAGCTCGTTATGTACATTTTTATATTAAAAGACATTGATAAACTATAGAAAACAACAAATATTAACTTATATTTTCTATTATTTTCTATTACAATGCATGCTTATGTAGCGCATGGTTAGAATAAGTTTAGAAAGTTACATTTATTATTCGATATAAATAAATGCTTACCATTTCGATATAAATAAATGCTTACCATCATAACAGTAATATTTGTATTAATTACCACCAAATCAGTTTCAAAAACATCCGTAGCGCCATCTTTTAAGCGCGCTTCAAACTACATAACTGAGATTTTGGTTGAAACTTTATTGCAACATGGCCAGTGAATTCCATATATTCTCCATCTTTGTCTTATTTATGCACCCAGACTATACCTCTACTCTTCCCACCGCGCTCCATTCGAATGATACCGACCATGCATTCGTGCGATCTAAATACAATCCTCTCACATAAGTGATAAGGTTGCACTTGCAATGCAAATGATTCTTATTTAGTTTCCATTAAAGATGTTACCTTACCGCTGTGGCGTGCACCTTGAAATATGGTTATCTCGCTCGCACACTAGCTGTCATCTCTTTTTGTTGCGTGTAGTGTTATATGTAGATATCTCGTTCGGTGGGAGATAAACAGATGTCTGTTACTAGTGACAGTTTGTATGGGATGTTAAGGAGGTAGAATACCACCATCATGAAATAGGCGGAGCGTGTGTTTTAGTTCCTCGTTTAGTAGGATCGCAGTGTTAAAGTACGATTATGGCGGTTTGGATGGAAACTGCCGTACTCTATAGGCATTATTTGAATAAACTCTGGGCTTTAGTGGATGAAGCAGCCAAATTGTTGAATTATACCAAGCCGTGCTGTAAATTTGTATGGTAATTCCTGTTGGTATTCCGTTTCAGTAGCATTTTATAGCGGCGCGTATTTACTCTGATAATATTTAGGTAACAATTTTATAAAGTAAACAACGCTATGTTATATAAAGCTATATAAAACATTGTTAGTTATTGAGAATTAAATTACATATTCCTTAGGAATATTCGAAAGATTTGTAAATACCAATATAGGGTTATGGCTCTTCAGGACTAATTTAAATTAAGTACCTACCTATGTACCTTTCTACTATTTACTGATAACGAACTTGACTAGGTATTTCTCTTCTTTTTATCATCTACTAATAACGGAATCAACTAGATGCTTCTGTCTTTTTTTTTACATATATCCTTGTAGTATAAAGTTCTTATATCTCTTTTTTAAATTGTACTCACGATAGTCTACAATTTATTTTATTGTTAAGCATGTTATTTCTTACGTTTAATGGTTTGTATACCCAAATTTAGTTTTTATAATTTACAAACTTGCTCCGCGGTTTGAAGCGCTGCGAGCTGAAACACAGGCTTAAGACCTATTTCAGCAACAGATGCTAAAATTGTTTTCAGGATACGAATATTATGTAAGTTATATGATAGGCATTATGTAAAACAAAATTGTGTAAACTCTTTCTTGATTCAATAAATTTATTTATTATTATTTTAAATTATGGCTTATTTTTACAACAAGGCACTGAAAATATGTAGGTAAATACATATAGGTACTTAGTTAGTATGTACTTACAATATATTTTATTTTCTTTATCAGTTTACAATGTAACCAATGTCTTAATAAGTATTAAGAGACATAACATAACATAACATAACATCACGCCTTTTATCCCCGAAGGGGTAGGCAGAGGTGCACATTATGCCACTGTACAATGTAACACCCACTTTTCACGATTTATGTTATGAGTCCCATGTAATAGGGGGTGAGCCTATTGCCATATATACATATTAAGAGACATATAGAATTATAAGAATAAGAGTAGTAGTAAAGGATGTACCTACTTAATTGTACCTAGGTATTGTAGGGTCTCGAAAGGCATTGTTGATATCCTTATAGTTATAATACTTATGTGTAGTCATTATCTAAATAATACCTAGGTGTTACCCACTATTTCATCTGTGTTATAGAAGACAAATGTAGACTAGATATGTCTATCATTTCAGCCAAAAATTATTATAATTAGATTATTAAAATTAAAAAGATAAATTATCCATTTCAGCGGCATTACTTTATCATTCTCCAATCATACCTACTTTTTTGTTAATATAATTAGGTAAAAAATAGATAGAATAATAATTAAAAATAATTTTATATATGTGTAAATAGTTAAGAATGAAAACATTGTCTATTGTTATGTAAATAAGGTTGCAATTATGACGTAGCTACCTGGAGATAAGAGCTGATGTTGTTAAGCTGTAACTTCCTTAACTTTTTTTACATACAGAAATATTTGTGGACATTCAAAAGGATATAGGTATATTTGTTAAATAAGATTAAATAATGTTTATTCATTTCATAAGTTATACATATTTTAAAGTAGTTATTTTATTAGCGATTACAATTATTGAAACATACCTAATGTAGAAATAGTCAGCCAAGTTATATGATATGTATTTACATACTTCACTGCTTCGTTGTCCAAGTGGTTGCAAGTGCGACTGCCAGGCATAAGGTCTTGGGTTAGATTCCCGGCAAAGTATTACTGGGTTTTGTAAAAAAATCTCAGTAGCAGCACGGACACTCGAAATGTTCCCAGTATATGACAATAGGCTCATCCCCTATTACATGGAAATCATATTAAATATAAATAGTGATAAGTGGATGTTACATTGTGCAGTGGCATAAAGTGCCGTAATGTGGACCTCTACCTACCCCATCGTGCCTATCAAAAAGTGATGTTATGTATGTATGGTATGTATGTACTTCCATATACATACTTACATAAAAAATATGATTCAGTACAATGTCTGTCACTGATGAACATAGACATATACTATTTAATAAAGTTAACTCATTTATAGCTGTTACCATCCCTCTACGGAATCAAGATAATCCATTTTAAAGATAAACAAAGTAAACTGACGATAGTTTATACTCAACCAATATTTTGATATTTATATTACAGTTGTACCTCCCCTTGACAACATTAACATAAGTATAAATCAATGCAACAACTCATTCAAATGTTATAAGCACATTTATGTTCCTGTGACATGCATACAACTAAATTTCATGTCTAACAAGTATTACCGCATTCGTTTCCACTCCTTCTTCATTCAATGTGATTCACCCTGAACTAATACAGCTGTGGTAAAAGTTCCCTTCCATGTAAAGTTTGTTAACTAAGTGAATAGGAATATTGTTTAAACTAGGGACTCGAGCGCGGCTTTCAATTATAGTGTCTCGATTTAGATTCTTGTGCCAGGGCAAAAATAGTGGTTCATGGATTTATGAACAGTAATAATAAAAAAAATTCAGAAATAATATGGACGTTGAAATTACCGTCGATAAGTTCTATTATTTTCCGATAGAAGAAGGTGTGCCAAGTGTATCATACAAACTATGTTTAAAAGAGCCGACTTCAACCACCCCTTCTTTTAAAGTAGGTAATATATCCTGTTACAACAAACACCATTCTGAACCCACATCAAAATCGGTTCAGCCACTAATATCTATAAGTGCATCTAATTGTATTGCCTAGTGACTCGACCCTACAGTCAACCAATTCGACGGTTTTGTGGGCCCTAAATTATAATATACTTACGTGTGTGATTAAAAGATAAATAAATAAATAATCGCGAGTTAATGGGGCACACACATATATACATGCATACTGGTAAAACTGAGACACTCCTCATGATTTTGAAGACGGTTAAAAGTATATTTTAGTTGTACCTGGCGGAAAAAGCAGTTTATCAGTGGTACATATTTAAAATACACTCATTACATAAATCTAAGTTTATTAAAAGGAAGCACTTGAATGCTTCTCGACTAATTGAGGAAAATCCTTTCTCATACAAAGGACAAAAACTGTAAAAACCTTGGTAACAATGTAATGCTTGCACAAGCACGTGTGGGTAGTATATAAATTTGCACCATTGAAATTGCCTCAGTATATATTATTTTCTATTCAGATAGCATGACAATCAATTTGATTTAGTGATAGGTACAAAGTGGTATAAAAACTACTTTATAAAAAAATATCAAAAGTTTTGCATAATCTGGATATGTGCCAGTTAATTGTAGTTTGACTCTATTTAAAATTAATAAAATTCAGTAATGTTTGTGGCAAAATATTTATCACCATCACCTGTACCTACCTATTTATACACATCTTTATCCCACGGCAGATGACAGAAATATCAATGTAAGTCAACTTCAACTAACATTTATACATATTTCTATAGCTTCTAGTATATAAGACATATCATTGATTTTTTTATGTGATAAGCCAGTAAACGAGCAGCAGATCACCTGATGGTAAGCAATTGGCGTCGCCAATGGACACCCGGAGCACCAGTGGCGTTACAAGTGCATTACCGCCCTATTGGGGATTAGGAATTTCAGGATTGTTAGGGATTCAGGTATAGGGGAGATTGGAGAAGGGGGGGGAGTAATTGATC